TTCTGCAATCAGGAATAAAATAATTTTATTTCTTTTACTGTCTGTATGCATTTGATGTCTGTTTTTGTTATTTATTTATTTGAATTGTGATGTGGGTGAAAGTTTCCAAAGCAAATTCATTTTCCATACAGCAGTTCATATACATGACATTTATTGTAATCCCCATAGTGCAACAGGTCTCATCCCACTTCCTCTCTGTAGTTATCTTTCCCCTTTGTCTTTAAAGTAAAAAAAAAAAACAAAAAAAAAAACAAGACAATATTGTGAGAACTAGGATGTACTTCACTCAAGCTATGGTGTTTTCTATCACATTATGGTATGCCAAACCTGAACAATGAGTTGTATGTTGTGTGTTATTTAAATTAAGTTGTGTTTAATGCCAATACCCATCTGTGAGTTGGAGTCCCTGGTGACCTAACTGGTGAACTGAAAGTTTGAAGGTTTGCATCTACCTAGAGCTTCTCAAGAAAAGACTAGCCATCTACTCCAAAAATTCAGAATTTGAAAACACTATGAAGCACAGTGCTGCTCAGATATCTATCAGTCAGAATCAACTTGACAGCTTCTTTATTTTTGTTTGAATCTCAGGATGATCTTGTGAAGAGAAGCCATGTGCATTCAAATTATTGTTTGGAAATGTTCATATTTTGTCATGTTCTATTTCAGCCATTATCATTATCTAAATAGATGAACTTTTACAATATGTAGATTTTGGACAGGGCTCCATGAACAAGAAACCACTTGTAGGTGCAAACTGCTAACATTTTGGTGAGTAGTCAAACCCTTATCTACTGAACATTCAAGACACTTGGTCTGTTGTAAAGCCCTCTAATTTAACCATGAGCCAAATGTGATGAAACACATTTTCTTCCAATACTGCCTGTCTAGAACTTTGTCAGCTCAAATTTCTCTTTCAAATAAAATATATAAAATGGTCAAAGAGATGAAAATTTCTGTTACAATTTTTTTTTTTTGGATGCTTTATTTTTTACATTTTTGTGTATGCATGTTTCTTTCCTGAGATAAAAGAAATCAACTTCCCGGTTTTGTTATGTTCCTAGTCAAATGTAAAGTTTGTGAGGAATTTATATCTTTAAAATAACATGCAAGCTCATATGAACATGGACAGATCTTTCCACTCATCTCAATAATGGTTCAGGACACATCATATACCAGGGATTGGTGATAATTTCACACTTAGTCATCCTTGGTCATAAGTTACCGAGGGAGATTTCTTGGCACATTTTGAAGAATAAAGTTCAATAAAAAAATGGATTCATGTTAGTCTGATAATAGAAACTTGCCTACACCCTTAGAAGTCACGTAACGAAGAGCATGATTGTTTATTCTTGGTTTTTTGATGCTCCACATTTTTTAACTGTGTCGTTGTGTTGTTTGTTGTTATGCGCCATTGAGTCGGCTATATAGAGAAATACTTATTTAGTCTTTAAGAGGCCAAGTAATTGACTATTATTTGCAGAACAGTACATTTTTTCACTCTGAATTATTTTTGTATTTGCTATGGGAATTTCCCAAGGAGGTTAAAACTTCCTCCTGAGTCGATAGCAAGAGTCAGAAAGATTTCTTTGGAAGTGTTGGCAGAGGCATGAACGTTTATTCAGAACAGAAACAAAGAGAAGTAGGAGAGAAAGAATTTAAAACATAAAAGGAAGCAGGCTGAAAACATTGTTAGCAATTCAGAGTCCAGCAGCGGCGAGACAGAATGGATCTAAGATGACCGGTAACCCCCTTCCACTTTGCAGGGATATTTATATCTGAGTTTGAAGTATTGGGGATGAGAGGTATGTGACTGGAAACAGAGGGCTACATGTCTGGCTTCAGACTTGGTGGTGCTGGCCCCAATCACGAGGAGTCTTGCTTGGGCAGTACCCTCCAACCACCACTTGTGTGCTCTGATAAGATTCTGCCAGTTAGCAATCTTTATTGCTTAAAACTATTCTAAGAATGAGTTCATACGTTACAGCAAAGGTAGTTAATACCCAGAGGGGTCAGGGAGGATATGTGACAGAGTGGGAGAAGGAAATGACTTGAGTTTCTTATAAGCATGGCTAACTTAGATGGAATATGAGAGCCATTTTGTGGGGGGTTGTCGTTACTGACTATGTAGTATTGTATAGAATGATACTATTATAGTGATTAAATGTTCATTATGAAAAAGAATACAAAAAAATTCAAAGGAAGTAAAACTAATTCAAAACTACTGTTAATATTTTGATGACTTTTCTTCTAATTATTTTCCTGGTACATAAAATGGTTATTTATATATGTATTTATGTGTTGCATAAATTATTACACTATATATTCAGTATATTGACCCCATTTTATAACAAAACACTTTTACTACAACTTTATGTAAGTTAGATTACCCTTCTGCAGAAAGAGCATGGTGGCAGTGTCCTCTCACCTCCTCTAATTTCATGAGAGAGAGACAGAGTCACCATCAGCCCAAGGCTGATCCCTTGAAATGGCTCTGACACCAATTGTCCCTCCCATAGCATTCTCTACTTTTCTGCTGGATTTGATAAATCATTGCAATGGCCACACAGAATTCAGACAACTGTTTTATTTTGGTTTGCATCTCAAAGTTACCTTGTGAAGATAAGTCAGGTCCACCAACATCATGTCTTGTTCATCAATTATTTACAAGAAAACATATCTGGAAATGTTCACATTATGTCATGCTGCATTCCAATTTTATTGTCTTTATCATTATTTGAATAGTTGAACACAATTCACATTACATAGATCTTTGATATAGCTCGACAAACAAGAAAATCAAAATAGTCATATTGCCTACAGTTCATATTATTCTTATCCAATGACATTATACACATAAATTTTATATTTCTATTCTATATCAAAAGATCATAGGGCAGTCTGAGTTTGGTTAAATTTCTTAAAATTAGTGTTGCCTACAAAATCATGAGTCGGGTCCAACTCTACGGCACATAACAACAACAAAATCATGGACTCTATAGGCCCTAAAGACTCTGTATTGCCCAATACAGACCAACAGGATATACAAAAAATTACATATATGAAATCAAATCAGATGTAGTTTAAACAAAATACCATAAAAGTGAAAATAACATGTAAATACAATACACAATTTTAAGTATTAAAAAATGCTTATCACTTTTCGCTAATTTAGTGTATATATGCATGTACATAAATAGATTCCAGATAAAACAAGCTTCAACCAAAAATATACATACATAGACACATTTTTAAATGAATTAAGAGAATAGAGAAACATAACGTTGATTTAAAAATTTGAATAAATCGTTTTCAATTGTGAAAATACTAAAAATTTTTAATCCCAAAAGAGATTACATTTCATTTAAACAGTCAAAATGAAAGAAAATTATCACAAATAAGATTATAAAAGAAAATTTTAATGTAAATTTTAAGCATTAAATGAATGCTAAGAACATACATAGAAACATCTACAGAGCTTTTCAAAATCTAATACATAAAAAATGGAAAAGGAGTACTCTCTGAGATAATCTTTGAATAGAAGAGAGCATAAAAACAGCAATACTGTAACATGTAAGAGAAATTAAAAAGAAACAAACAAGATATTCAGGAATCTATCTGATGGAAATTTGTGGGCTGCGGTCATCCCAAATTTATTTTCAGTTCTCTGCTTCATGATATTTCCTTACTGATATTCTAAAAACAAATATATGGGATTTTGAGAATGTATTTTAAAGAACGTAAGATGCCTATAGATATAAGGGTGAACATGCCATTTGCTTGAAGTATGAACAACTTCAAAAGAAATAATTTATTGAGGCTTGTTCACAGATCACAGAAAGGTTGTACAGTGATTTGCTAGTTAACACCAACAACATATCACTGCAGGCAGGTCTTTAACCAGATTAAATTGCAATGTTCTTTGTGCAAAAGAGTTGCAAGATGAAGCCCTGATTTTGCCCAGGTACTAAAACCATATTTATTTAAAAGTTTTAAATAGCAAAGGAATTAACAAATACTGCAGTGTAAATGGAAACAAAGAAGCAAGAAAATATAAATATTCTTATGCATATAATGTATACAATGATAGATACTAATCTAGGAGAACATGAATAAAACTCTCAAGAATGGCTAAGATATTATTATTCTTTTATGTTTTTCAAGTTTTCTTCAATGTTAAGATGTACCATTTTACTGTTCTTAATCATATTTATGATTTTTTGTTATAAGTCAAAAAGTATAAAGGGTTGAGCTTTATTTGTGTTGTTGGTAATTAATTTTAACAATTTCTATGTGTATCAAATAAACCAAAAATAATTTACCAAACATCAGTGAATATTCTTCATAACAAAGGGTATTGTGCATTTAAAATACTCCCAGGAGGTAAATATTCTAATTTAATGAACAACATTCTTAGTACTGAATTAACTGCTTTCTATTTTAATCTTTGGTATAACATGTGGAGCCGGAATGATTATTTCTTTATCACAGTTAAGGAAACTGAAGTTAAAATTATTAGTAACTTATAAGGGTCATGAAGCTAAAAATGAACAGACCCAGAGTCTATAACCCAGAATGTCTAATTCTAAAACAGCCCACCCTAACCACTGTGCTATATTCCTTCTTTGTATAATACATGGAATGACTTCTGTAATTGTTTTCATTTGGCAACATTATAGCAATTACCCTTGACTAAATTATCTGAATTCAGATATGTATACAGCTTGGTATGGTATAATATAAGATGAGATAATATTCTCTTATGCTGCACATTAATTTCCCCTAAAAGTATATATATTTAATCTTCTAGTTCAACTTATATTCATGTTCTCTAATTATAATATGAATTTATTAAAAATATATATTGCTGGAAATATCCATGATGTTATACAGCCAAGTAAAGAACGACTTAACAGACATGGAGATTAACTGAAAATAAAAATTATTTTTAGAGAGAAAAAAGGAAAGAAAGAAAATGTGAGATTTAATATTTCACTTCCCTGTCACTTTACATGCCTGGTGCAAACCATCTTCTGCATCACTCTGATGAGAGCATTGTTCACTTCTTTGTTCCTAAGACTATAAATGAGTGGGTTCAGCATGGGAATCACAATAGTGTAAAAAATAGAGGCCACTTGGTCTTTTCCCAAAGAGTAGGACTTTCTTGGTTTTAAATAAGTGAAAATGATGATGCCATAGAAGATGGAGACCCCCAGGAGGTGGGAGGCACAGGTAGAGAAGGCTTTTCTCTTTCCTGATGTGGATTTGATTTTCAGGATTGTAGAGACAATGGACACATAGGACACAGAGATTATGATAAGAGACACCATTAAGGTGGAGCCTGAAAGAATGAATATCGTGATCTCAATATTATGTGTGTCAGTGCAGGACAGGACTAAAACAGGGGTTGTGTCACAGAAAAAATGATTGATCACATTGGAGTCACAGAAATGCAACTCGTTCATGGAAATCACAATGGAAAAGGATTCACAGAATGCCATCACATAGGATGTAGTGACGAGGGAGTGGCAGAGTGTCATGGACATAAAAACTGAGTATTGTAGAGGATTACTGATAGCTATGTAGCGATCATAGGCCATTGAAGAGAGAAGGAAACATTCCGTGACAGCCAAGAAGATGAAAAAATACAGCTGTGTGAAACAACCTGCAAATGAAATATATGTGCTGGAAGTCTGTAAGTTCTCTAAGGTTTTAGGGGTAATTGCTGTTGAATAACTAAGATCAAGGAATGACAGATGACTGAGGAAAAAATACATGGGAGTGTGAAGGTGGCGGTCCAGGTGGATTACAAGTATCATCCCTGCATTCCCCAGCACAGTGATCAGATAAATCAGGAGAAATAGACTAAAGAGGACCAGCCGGATCTCTTCAGACTCCATCAGTCCCATGAGGATGAATTCAGACACATTTGTGTTGTTCTTTCTACCCATAGTGCGCACCTTCTTTCTAAACTGTGGGAGATTAAATTTTATACTTAACATCAGTGACTTCTATTCAGGTTTTTGTTTATATAAATGACATGGCATTAAAAAAAAAAAAAAGACTTAGGAATATAGAAATTGATAATAAGTAGGAGCTCTGGTAGTCTAGTGCCTAAGGCATTTCACTGCTAACCAGAAATCTGACTGTTCAAACCCACCAGTCACTTCTCGGAAGAAAGGTTAGACAATATTTTTCACTAGAGATGCCACCTAGGAAACCCAAGGAGATGGCACTATAAGTTAGATCTGAATCAACAGCAGTAAGTTTGGTTTTATTTATTTTTTTGTGGTTTAGAAAATATGACTGATAAAATATGAGTTTAATTGCCATATATAAATACAAATATTCTGATATTGCATAATAAAATATTAACATATATTATAAAAGTGGAAATTCTAGTGTTCTCAATGGTTCTCTTTTAAACAGATTTAAAATGTCATTCCATAGGTATTAGTGTTATCCACACTTAAGAAAATTATCTCGTAACTCTTAAGTAATTTATCTGAAGTCAGAGTTACTAATTATGGACTATGTGACTCTATTATTTTAAGTGTGTTGAAATTGTACGCTAGTAACACTGCATTCTAAATTATAATTAATTTCAACTTCCTGAGAAAATTCTAAACAGTTAGTAAGCAATTAAATAATTATAGTTGAATGCTTCTCTTAGTGTCCTTTGGTTTTCAATATTATTTAACACTATTGACAAATCAGTAATTTCAAGACATGAGGTCTTTACTCTGGTGAGTGAAAAGTATGGATCACAGAATAATCATTTCCATAAGATGTGCTGTTTTCTTAACTTGACCATTCAAAGCCAAATTCCTCTGCAAGTTATATTTCCAAAATAGGAATATTGCTTTTATACTACTGATTCCATTAACTCTATATATCTGTTTCCACATCCTGCAATTACTTAGGGAAAGGACTAAAAGTCTATTTCTGACTCTGCATATATTCTTTGATAATGTTTCCTTTTATTTGATCTGACCTAAACCGAACCAAAACCCTTGCCTTGGAGCTGAGTCAGTGACCCTACTGGGTAGTGTAGAACTGTCCCATAGTGTGTCCAAGGCTATAATCTTTATGGAAGAAGATTGCCTTAACTTTCTGCTACGCAGCTGCTGGTGGGTTTTGACAGCTGACCTTTTGTTTAACATCCTAGGGCTTTCCCACTATGTCGCCAGGACTTCTTGATCTGACATATAACACTCTGATTTTCAGAACAATACTTACGATGAACCAAAGGTGATGAAATTTTGTTGTTCCAAAATTACATGTCTAGAATTTTGTCAGGCTTAAGGTTTTCTTCAAAACAAAATATAAAAAAAAAAAAAAAATTTAAGGAGGTGAACGTCTCTCTGAAATAGTATTATTTTCCTTTCAGATGAATTAGTTTTACATTTCCATGCCTGCATTTTATTTTCAAAGGTAAAATAGCTCAACCTCCAAATTTTGTTCAGTTCCTAATAAAATGGAAATTCACAAGGAAATTATATTTTAAAAATAAATAAATAGATGCAAGCTAATGAGAGTAAAAGCAGAGCAGTCATCTCACCCTCATAATCCAGTGTACCTCTTATACTGGGGATGACTGACAGCGCAACACTTCCTCATCTTCAGGCAATAATTTCCAAGGGGGATTGTGTGGTACATTTCCAAGCATAAGAGTTCAAGGACTAATGAATTCATTTTTGACTTCTAACAGATAATTGCCTGTTATTGAAGCCACATACTGAGGAGCCTGAGGGTTTGGTCTTCCTTTGTCAATACTTCACGTTATATGGTACATTGTCAAAGAAGCTATTTCTAGAGAAATGCTTAATTACTCTGTAAAAGGCCAAGTAGTTAAGTATGAGTGACACAGTAGCATTTCTTATTCTGACTTATATTTATACTTTAAGGTCTGATACTATTATAGGGCATAAAACATGTTCATTGGAAAAAGTTAGAATATAACAAAACGCAAAGAAAATGAAGCACATTAAAAAACTGTTGTTAATATGTTTTACACTGCACCCATTATTTATTGTTAACATTTTGATGTATTTTCTTCCCATTATTTTTCTTTGTGAATGAAATGCTCACTTATATATGTAGTTATATATAGCATCCATGATTACACTGTATATAGATTTTGTGATCTCATTTTATTAATAAATCTATAATACACCTTGATCTATCTTACCTTCCCTGACCACTGCCGTAGTTGATTTCAACTCATTGTGATCTTACTGGGCAGAGTAGAATTGCCCCATTAATTTTCCAAGCTTGTAAATCTTTACAGAAGCAAACTGCCTCATCTCTCTTCCACAGAGCTATTGGGGTTCAAACCACTGAACTTTTGGTTAGTGGCTCAATATTTTAACCATGGTGTCAACACAGCTCCATTATATCATGCTTGTTGTTGTTGTTATGTGCTATCAAGTCAGACCCTACACATAGCGACCCCTCTTTGGGTTTCCAAGGCTGTATCACTACGGAAACAGACTGCATAGCCTTCTTTTCAAGGTGTGGCTGGTAGGTTTGAACTGCCAGCCTTCTAGTTAGCAGTCAAGTACCTTAGGCATTACACTACAAGAGTCATCCTAGCAATCTCTAAAATGAACAATGTCATGCATCATGCAATGACCGGTGCTGTGTAGCTAATTTCCCTCTGGGAGTAGTCACCAGCAGATGGGTGGACATTTGAGCCATCACAAGCCATCACAAACATGGTATGGGTTTTCCGTTCAACTTTGGCAGTGTCACCTTACTCATCTACACAGAAGTCCATGCAAATTGTTTTACTCTTTTAGTATACTGGGCTTTTATTTTATTTTAAAAGCTTCAATTTCTCGCTCATGAGAGAGACCTGGTGTTATTTATTTATTGTTTATTTATGTTGTGGTTTGGGTGAAAGTTTACAAAACAAATTACTTTTCTATGCAACATTTCATACACATTTTGTTTTATGCCATTGATTCCAGTCACCATATTGTAACAGCTCTCTTCCCACTTCCTCCTTGTGGTCCTTTTGCTATGGGTCTATTAAAATTTTATACATCAGTCTGTGTCTGTTTAGGTAAATAGTGTGTTTCTATAAATATGTCCATTTCTTCTAGGTTTTCAAATGTGTTGGTGTATGATTCTTCACAGTGTCCTGATATAATCCTTCTTATTTCAGTTGGTTCTGTTGTGGTGTCACCTATTTCTTTTCCTATTTGTGTCATTTGCATATCCTCCTTCTTTGTTAAATTGCTTGTGGTTTGCCATTTTATTCATCTTTTTCTCTTATTGATTTTTTTCTATTGTCTATTTTCTGTTTTGTTGGTTTCTGCTTGAATCTTTATTATCACTTTCCTTGTGGTGACTATAGGCTTTAGCTGCTTCTCTTTTTTCTAATTTTTGATGTTGTGTTAAGGTGTTGATTTTGCCTATCTCTTCTTCTTCGTGAGTGCCTTTATTGGTGTAAAATGCTCTCTGTTCACTACTTTTTCTGTATCCCAAGGATTTTGGCTAGTTGTATTTGTGTTCTTGTTTGATTCAGTGGATTTTTCAAGTTCTTTTTTTATTTCTTCTATTACCCAGTAATTATTAAGGAAGGTGTTAGTCAGTTACCATATGTTTGCTCTCTTTCTGTTGGTCTAATTTTATAGTGTTGTGATCTGAGAAGATCCTTTTCAGTACTTCAATGTTTTTAATTTTACTGATGATAACTTTTTAGCTAGATATATGATTTATCCTGGAGAATACCCTATGTGTGCTGGAAAAGAATGTATATTATGCCATTTTTAGTGAAGTACTCTATATAGATGTCTAAAAGGTCAAGTTGGTTGGTTGTATTATTTAGTTCTTTGTTTTAATTGAGTTTCTTTCTAGTTGTTCTATCTTTCAAAGAAATTTCTTTATTAAAGTTTCCTAGTATGACTGTGCAGTCATAGTAAAAGTTAAAGTAAAAGTTAAAGTCTGATTTATGTATTTTGGGATTCTTTTATTAGGTTGTATTTAGTATGATTATGTCCTCTTTTTCAATTGATACTTTAATCATTATATAATATCCTGCCTTGTCTCTTATGCTGTTTTTTTTTTTTTTGGTGTGTTTTTTTCAGAAATTAATATTGCCACTCCTGCACTTTTGTGACTGACTCTTTTAGTATACTGGGCTTTTATTTTATTTTTCCTGCACTTTTTTGACTGACTATATTTTATATATATATATATTTTTTTTTTTTTCCCAAACCTTTGATTCTTAGTTCATTTTTGTGTTTGTGTTTACAGAGAGTCTCTTGTAGACAACATATTGATGATTCATATTCTCTTATTCAGTCTACAACTTTCCATTTCTTGAGGGATGCATTTAATCAATTCATATTCATTGTATATATTGACAAGTATGAATTTAGTAATTTAATAAGTTGAAGATTTTTTTCTAATTTCTGCATTGTGAAATTAACCAAACATGCAATCAAGATGTATTGAGGATTACTTGTTAGTGGAATATGAAAGTTGGAAACAAAGAAGAATCATTATAGTTGAAAAATATGGCAATTGTGAAAGAAATGACGCCAGAGATTACGTGACAGAATTTTGCAAAACCAATGACTTAATTATTGCAATTACCATTTTTAAATGACATACAGGCAGCTATACATTTGGATCTTGCCAGATGGAATACACAGGAATCAGATTGAGTGTATCTGTAGACAGAGGTGATGGAAAAGTTCATATCATCTGTCCAAACAAGGCCAAGAGCTGAGTGTGTAACAGACTATCAATTGCTCATATTCAAGTTCAAGTTGAAGCTGTACATAATTAAAACAAGTACAAAAGATCCAAAGTATGACCTTGATTATAAGCCACCTGAATTTAGAGATCATCTGAAGAATAGATTTGATGCATTGAACACCAGTGACTGATAACCAGAGGAGTTGTGGGATGACATCAAGAACATCATACTTGAAGAAAT